CCATTACTTGAGGTAATCTCGCTGAGCGTATGGTGTCATTATCATATTTCCTTGTTAGCTGGAGATGATCGCTTTAGATTCTGGTCGAGCAGATATTCTTTGTCTGGGTCTTAGTGAAATATTCTAGGATCTCTGCCCAAAAGAACCCCTGTCTTTTCTTCACTTTCCTGTTTAGCGGGGAACTATTACTTTTGTTCTAACCACAATTTTTCCTTTAGCTCCCCTACTTTGGTGTTTCCTTCTTTTTCTTACCTCTAGCACATTTTTATGGTCTGCCTTGCCCGGCTCTCTAGCGTAGTTGGCTAAACCAGATTGCGGGATGATCGGGTGACGAACTCATTGTGGGCCAGGCTCACTCCCGGGGGTAGGCAGAAAAACCAAATTTATCCCAGATTTACGGTATTTACAATGGAATCAAGGCCGAAAGGTTGCGATATCCATAATACCGAGCCTAAGGGTTAACAACTCATAGCTTCTGGATACTAAAACAAACAAACAACGGTCTGCCTATAAGAAACTGTCTGAATACGAATAAGCCAGATCTGTAAAATCCATGTGCACGCAAAACTCACATTCTTGAACCAGTCTAGAGGGGAAAGAACAGCCTACACTTTCTACCGGAGTTTACAACCGGCGAAGAAGAAGACATTCTTCAGGATCTGGGCAGACATACACACACAAAGAGAGAGAGAGAGAGAGAGAGAGAGAGAGAGAGAGAGAGAGAGAGAGAGAGAGAGAGAGAGAGAGAGAGAGAGAGAGAGAGAGAGAGAGACTAATAGATAGTAATACTATTAGTATTGTTTGTTGCTTGGAAACTGAAACACTTCAGCCATATTAACTTCCTAATAGTTTTGAGTTGTGAGCATCTTTCTGACGTGCCCTCAAACCAGTGATGTGGGTTATGGTTCACGAAAGAAGAATCAGGAATCGATCAGCACGACTGCGGACACAAGATATCAAGGGCACACTGGACATGAAAGTTGGCGGGACCAAGTGACTTTCCAGTGTGCAGTGATAACAGCGCTTTCCAAAGGACTTTCTAAATGGTGATGAAGATCTTTTTCATGGCGAATATTTTCAGAAGCCTTACACCCCTTCTGCAAGATGCACATTATGTATTATCCCATATGGGTTGACATTCTATCGTCGAGTTTGTCATACAGAGCATGGGCCCTAACAAGAATCGCAATACTCATGCACTCATGAACCAAAGCAGGGTAAATTAAGTATCGTAATAAATCGACCATATCAGCCGCATCGCTATGGGTACAAAAGACTGGACCCAGCTATGTCTTCCTCTTTATGGGCTATCTAGAACACCAGAAAGGCCATCAAAACATCGGATGACTCCCCAAGCTTTGTCAGAAATATATCGGTTACTGCACTGGTTTCTCAAATTGCCACAGACCGTCACTGATCTTTTTTCCTCCTACTTTCACGTCAGCATCCGACTCACTTCCAGAATTGTGGCGCGGTGATTTATATCACAGGCGTGAGGGGAAGTTAAGCCCAACATGACGTGTATAAGGAGATACTCCGTACGTCACTCGGGCGCCAGTCCTTTACTATCCTGGTTGTACGGAACCTCACGCAAGACCCCTACAGCACGTCCTCGTCGTGCGCCACGGATAATGTCTCAAATGAGCATTAACAGAGCTGTCAGGGGATCTCGGAGTTTGGCGGCCCCCAGAGGTGATGTGTCCTTGTGGCTCTCATCAGCCCGCCCCCAAACGCTTGGGTGAAAAATATTATCAAAACTCATTAGGAACATGAGTAGGGTTGACAAACATACAGCTAAAATTACAACCTTTGGTTAAAAGACTGCTGAGTAAAGAGATCATTGCTCACTGCACATCCTCTGTTAATTCTCAGTGTCGTCGTCACCGCGCTGAGGTACAACCACAACAGCAACCCTCCATAGGCTGGCCATCCTTGTACATCCTCGGTTAACCCTCAGTGTCGTCATCACCGAACTGGGGTACACCACAGCAGCAACCATCCATCGGATGGCTAAGCCTAAATGTCCGACAAAACTAGATCATACGGATCAAAACCTGACCATCAAAATTTGCACTGAACTGAAAAAGACCGAATATCCACACCCAAAGACCCCACTCGCCCGAGTGTTGGGACAAAACTGATAACGATGCGCCTGATTCAGGATGTGAAATTCTGTCAGGCTAATGCACCTATCTGTGTGGTCACAAAAGTCCAAAACCCACGGGCTGCTCCCCGCCGACTTCCAGAGGGCGCAGCCCATGTCGAGTGGGAGGCCTGATACGGTTGTGAGGTTAAGCAGGCATGTGCAGGACGTGACGATTCCTTGGGTGAGCCCAGAATCAGAGCAATATGTGCCGGCTTTGCATACATGGAAGCCTCCTTGGATGGCGGGGAATGCCCATGATCTGCCCCTGCCTTCCCTTGAGGGCCAACTGTTCCACAGGGGGCTGCCCCAAAGGGGTACTCTGGGGGCAATACCTGCGGCGAAGGAGACAAAATGGACACCACACAAATTAGGCAAACTTCTCGACCCACACAAAACAATGGCCACAGTCACCCTAGAAATAGGCCTGACGTCTTCCTTCGAAGTCGGCGTACAGCTGCCCAAGAGGCAAGGAAATGAAAAACGGTTGTACACGCAAAAATCAGGTCCAGGTGAAAGCCAAAAGTCCTAGCGGACGATTAACCGAGACCTTCCACTGGAATTCATAGCCGGTGTTCGATAATAATAAATAATAACTTCCAGAATTTCGCCGTCATCTGTGCATATTTTGGATCTCGTTGTCACTCTAGATTCTAAAGGCCTCATTAACTCAGTATCCTCCAAGAACACCAATTTTCTTCTTCCATTCTTCCTCCTGCAAAGACTCAATTCCTTTCTTTTAACTTCCACATCTCGGTAGGTTGTGTCAGAAGAATGGTGACTTCCATCCACCATAGGGCTCTGGATATGCTTAATTTCTTATGACTCCAAGGCTGCTGCCTTTCACCGCTCACCATCAGTCATGCTGAGGCACTCGATTTCAAACCCAAACATCACAACAGACATAACCTCACACTTACCTACCACTACTACAACATCCGCACCAAAGAGATTCTCCCCAGGCACCTCTCCATGCTATGGGCTGACCCTGTCACAAGCATGATTTTATCTTAACTACCCCTTCTGGCCTACAGACATGAGCGTAACCCTAAGGACGTTGTAGTCAAGAGTCGGTTACCTCCCACCTCTGAGCACCCTTCTATTTCAAAATACACAAAACCTGATAACCCAAGCAAGCAAACCGAGTCTGACTGCATGCGCTACAGAACTCACATCTGAGTTTCTCGACCGTATATTCCAACCCCCTGGTTGTATATACCTATATGAAGACCTCTCAGTATATGTTTCAGGCAGATGGTCTAGTATTCCCTAATGCACTGTCCACATAAGTAAGGCATTCTATTGCATCAGTCGCAATTAATTTTACACCATTATCTGCAAAAGATGTATGAATGAAATGCATCAGTGAAACAGGGCTATGACTAGCTGACAGGCTGCAGGCATCTTTCTGACGTGCCCGCAAACCAGTGCCGTTGCATTTCCATCTTCATGGTCAGCAAGGTGACTTCCACATAGAGGTTACAGCCATCAGGTGTAGCTGCTCCAGAGTCAGCAAGTCTCTTGAGAACTGCCTAATCTATTAAATGGGCTCCAATAAAGCCAGATCTAATAATGGTTGTCACAGATTTCTCAGGCTAGGATTCACACTTGTGCCAGAGCTCTAACTGGTCAGACAGACATGTGCAAGTCTCAGAGATAGCTTACTAAAGCAATGTTCATTCCTGTTTGTAACTTAACATTGTCTATTCGTACTGATGAAGGCTTTTTGACAACAACGTTCCCATGTCGTTTGTTATTGTGAAGCCAGACTAGTTTATATTTTTAAGTTGGTTTGATATCTTTTAGGTGCATCTTTGTTAAAAAAAGTAATTCTTTTGCATTTATTCTCTCAAGCCATAAATTTTCATCAATCTACCTGAAAGAGCCATTTTTGGGAGAGCTTTCTTAGACTAATGATTTTTCATATGCCCGTCTTCTTCTTCGTGTTTACTGGTTGTAAACTCTGTGGAAATTTCTGGTTGTTTATTCACCTCTGGTTGCATGCACATTCGTAAATCAGATCTGACTTATTTGTGTGCAGACTGTTGATTCCTTACCTTTCAGGCAGTCATACTTGAACTTTGAAGAAAAGTTGAGTCAAGAATGGACATCACAGCATTCCTATGCATGCTCCATCCTCATCTTCAGCAGCCAGCGCAGAGTTTCAGTACTGATGGTACCGGTCACAATCTGGTTATATGTCTATCTTGCCTTTCCTCTGAGTGTAGTGAGCCGGCCAGACCCTCTGGTTACACCCAGGTGCCTCATTCTCTCCAGGCCATAATAACCTTGTTTCTCTACTGATTCCGTTGCTTGTTCCCAAAGGGCCTTTACCACACCTGCCTTGTCATGTCTCAATTCACCATCCAATGGTGCAGATCCAGCCAATCTGTCTGCCTGTTCATTACCCACTACGCTGGCATAGCCTGAAAAAAAAAAAAAAGATCCAAAGTATGCTCACTACCTGTGACCTTCCCAGTGAAGCTTGCCACTCTGCTCAAAGCATCCCTGACTTCACCTTTCTCAACATGCTTTCAGAGTCTGTTACAAATAGACATGTGTATGCATCTTGTTCTCTAGCCACAGTTACCACCTCCATTCTCCTGCTATATGTTGCGGTGTCGTATGTTAGGCTATCTTTCGAAGAGAAATATCCACCTGTCTCTTGTTCCTAGGATGACTGCAGAGAGAGGGGGCATTACCCCTGGTCTGATGTACGATTCAGCATCTATGCATGCTACTATGAACTGAACCAACAAGTAGCTCAGATACTAAAACTGTTTGTAAATGTGACACACAAACAGATTTAAAAGACAATCAAAAATAATTTTCTGTCATTACAAATTTTTATTCATTGTCATCTCTTATTCTGATGTCTGCCAGTCTTGGCTAAAAACTTGCCCTGTTTAAATTCTCCATGTTTCCTCTCACTCTTGATGGTTTCTTTAAGCTCCTGCGTGTATGTCTGATGGAAGGGGGAAAATAACAGAAAGAAAAGATTTAAAAAATGTACAGAAAATTAGGGCGAGATGAGAATATAAAATTAGGAAATTAGAAGGACTGAAACCAATCACAAATAATTTAAAAAGCAACAGATAATTGGTTTGGCCAACTGACAACAATACCTTGGTATCAATTACCACACACAGAGTCAGGCTGGAGAAAGATAACAGAAACCACAAAGTAAAGGGAAGATCACGAAAGAGATGTAATGCTGTTATCTAGGAACAATCTTACAGAAAGAAAACCCAATTTATACATACACCACACTAGAAAGAGCATACAGAAGATTCCCCCCCCCCCCCCCCCCCCCCAGGAGAAAGATTAAAAATGTTTAGGTCAAAGTGAGAATACTAAGAATCTTTGTGCTAAATTTCTTTAGTATGTTCTGACAAAATATGGAAGAAAAAGTTGGGGTTTAATGCAAGAAGCCCATTATACATCATCTGTTATTTAAGACAGCAATTGTGGGAGGGGGGGGGGGGGGGGGGGGAGAAGAGAGAGAGAGAGAGAGAGAGAGAGAGAGAGAGAGAGAGAGAGAGAGAGAGAGAGAGAGAGAGAGAGAGAGAGAGAGAGAGAGAGAGAGAGAGAGAGAGAGAACTTAATTTAAAATAAAAATGTTCATATATTTTTGTTAAAAGTAGCTCTGTTATAAGTTAGGATTAATAGAGGAGCACACACAAAATTGCCTATTTCTGTGGCAAATCTTCTTTGTTAATCTGAGTGAGGTTATTTGCACTGTGTCTGTTCACAGCATAGCTTTGACCAACACTGACTTTATCAGGTATTTGTTCATCAGGTTAGCCTTCCTGTTTGGATTCATGGGACACAATGTAGACTTATTTGTGTGGTTCCTCTTTATCTACAGCTGTTGCCCCTAGATAACCCGTCTAAGACCGCCAAGCGCAGACGGGTCGGCCTTCAAGTAGGTGAGTGACATTCTACGCCACCAAGACCACTCAATGACAGATAAACACCCAGTGACACCAATCGAATAAGAGTCATAAACCTTGTAAACCATTAGGTTATATTAAGACAGCTGGGGTGGGGCTTTTAACTCTTTGAGTCCCAAGGAACGCATCATACATTCAATGGTTCCTACTAAGAAGCCCAATGAACGCATGATGCACCAATTTTTTTACTTTCTTTACTACCCCCTGGGCCTGTGATGCTAAACCCCCAGGGACTCATAGAGTTAAATAACATGCAAACTGAGTCCCATGTTTGGGCGCACTTATCGAATGGCCGTCAAGGAAAAGCAGTGGCTTCTGTAGTGCAGAGCCAACATATGATGCTCTGGTCCTGGGCTCACGCAAGGAATCATCCCATCTGTCTATCACTCGTCAGGGTCTGCACCTTTTAGAGATCAACAGGAAGCAGCCAGCAGATCTGAGACTTTAAGGACCACACAGATGGGACAAATCTTCCTCACCAAGACAGATAGATGCCTTTAATGTAGTTGCATCAGGACAGCATAGAAAAAGCTTGTATCAGGCATGGCTCCCCCTTTTGGTCCTGACACTTTGATGAGTGAGGCCAATGTTTGCAGACAATTAAACCTTTCTGTCACACAGTAGGACAACTGATGGTCGGCCATTTGAATCTTGTCTGTCACACAGTAGGACCTTCGATGGTTGGACATCTGAAACTTTGCTGTTAGGTTGTTTAGTTACTTGCTCATCCTTTACAGAACATTGCAGAACCAACCCTAACAGCCCCTGGCTGTTGAGTGGTTTCTCTAGGCAATTTACATCCAGTAATTTGCTATTGCTTTCTAGACGGTCGGCTTTCTTGATACCACTGTCGAAACCAATGCAAGGCGCATTGCCCGCAGCTGGGATAGAACCTGGCATCCCGGCATTACGAAGCGAAGCGTTCGCATCGACTTAGCCACAGAGCCTGTTAGGTTGTAGGACACTTAAATGACGGACATTTGAGCTTAAGCAGCATTACAGTAGGAATTTCGGTCAACAGGTGTTTGAACCAAGGTAAGTTATACAGCAGGATATTCAGCCAGCAAGCTTCACTCATGTTCAAAATGAGTTTTTAACGGACATTTATCACTCGGGCATTAAAGGTGGGCTAATGAGAGCTGGAGGATTTCTGGACACTGAATTCAGGTTGATATGGGTCATTATCTGCAGCACAAAGTGAGGACATGCAGCAAGAGTTTTGCATGAGGATCCATAAAACCAGTAGAGCCATCTGGTGCCTGAGGTGAGTTACTGAGTATCTCCTTATACACACCACAACTTAACTTTCAGCCATGCCTGTGAGCGAAATCACTACACCCTATGTCTTATGTTAATCACTAATCTGATATCTAGTTTCCACATTAAAGACTTTTAACAACCAGTCAGTCAACTTATAAATGAATAATTTTTCAAGAAAAGAACAGTTAACAACAAATATTTAGTCACACAACAAAGAGTCAACCAATAAATGAACTATCAACCAACTAAGATTTGCATAATGTTTGCTTCGTATCTGTCCTCAGTGTAACCTTGACCCCACTAAGGTCATCAGAAAGCAAATAATTTAGGAAACTATAGTGAAGACGGGTAATGCTTCATTACTGTAAGCCAGTCTTGTATCTAGTTTCCACATCTTAAGCATCTAATTTTACATGGTAAATTATCACACATTACACCCAACTATTGATAACTTCTTAATAATTTCTACACAATAGCTATCTAAGAGAAAGTACAAGCCTTTGTTCTAGTCAGCTATTCATCAATACACGACAAGCCCTAATTTGCAGATTGCAGGGCACCGTATCTTATATTAATAATAAAATACTTAACATTCAGACCATAACAAGTTTTATTATTTTAAATTCTTTATAAACAGAAATATTTTCTTGGGGGTGTGAAGTGACCCCCTGACATCCTAGTTGAGGTCGATATAGGTCTTTATTTGTGGCACACGGCAAAGATGTGTGTGTGGCAGAGGTCTTGTATGAGGATCTATAAAACTAGCAGAGAGCCTGATGGTGAGGTATGGAGTGTGTCCGTATACCCAAAACAATGGCCTTTACTTTGCCTTATCTTGTAACCGAAATTACTGTGCCACACATCTGTCTTTTATCTAGTTTCCACATAACAGTCCTGGTTATACTTTCCATATTGAAGACTTGTAATAAAAATTTAAAAAGAAAAGTTAGCCAGCAAAATCAAAAAGCAGCCAGTCAGTCAAGCAACAAATAAATAATTATCCAACAAAAACCATTGACAACACATGAACCATTAATCAACTAAGAAACACATCATGTTTGCTTCGTATCTGTCCTCAGTGTAACCTTGACCCCACTAAGGTCATCAGAAAGCAAATAATATAGGAAACTATAGTGAAGACGGGCAATGCTTCATTAGAGCCAGTCTTGTATCTAGTTTCCACATCTTAAGCATCTAATAATTACACAGTAAATTATAACACATTATCTATTACATCTAACTACTGATAAGATCTGAATAATTTTTACATAACAACTATATAAGAGAAAATATAAACCTTATTCTATGATCTGATTTACTGGCTGGAGTGGCTTTTCCTCAATACTTTTGCAGATACAGGGACCCATATATTTTATTATTAAATGACTTAAAATCCAGAAGTTGATGAACATCCAGAACTTTTTGTTGGGGTTTACAGCTTGTGAACAGGAAGAAGAAGAGGAGTGACCTGTAGACAGTTTTCCTGTAACAAAACTTTGATAAACAAAAATGACTCCTTGCGGTGTCAAGTGTCTACACCGTTTATTAAGGCCACAAGATATAAGAAACAGTTCAGAATTGCAAACTCAAAGTCTGCACCTTGAGTTCAAATTTCTTTGTGAACTTTACAACAACAATAAAAACTATTCTATTACCAACCTTCAGCAATGCTGGTCTCACATCTGCTAATGTTTCCAAAGGCTGAGCTCCGACGTCTCTAGCATCTACTCTCTCTGAACCTGACAAAAATATCACGTTATCACATACAGGAATATAAATGATGACCTTTACAAATATACAAATCTTTTTTAAACACTAAAATATAGAAAAGATGATAACACAAAGTTCTGCTTACAAAATCAAGCAGACTGATATAGACACAGATACAAGCCAGCCCTGTGTGGGTTCTGGTGCCTCGCCGGGGGAGGGTGGCGACAGACCGACTGTCGCCGGGGGAGGGTGGCGACAGACCGACTGTCGCCCCTAATGAGCATGCTGTAAAAGGTAAATAAATTGGCATATGTCCCTCTGAAGTCATACTGCAGGCTAGGAACCAACTGTCTGGGTACTAAGAAGCCAGATGTGTAAAAATGGGTGGGCATGCACAACTCAGGGGTTTGAAACAAGACTGAAGCCCAGAAGTGGACAAACAGCCAGGACTTTACACTGGAATTTTCAGCCAATAAGCGCCAAGCAGATGAAGAAAATCAACAGGCATACTGCACAGAGCATACAGATAACTGTAACTTGACAAACTTTGATACATGCAGAAAAACACATCAAACATACTTACTTAACTAATGAGAAAACCTAACACCAGTGATAACTTCTTCCAGCTTTAGGTTCACTGGGAGCCATGTGGCATAGTGGTTAGATGCTCATCAGCACATTTGAAGGTCGTGGGTTCAAATCTGAATGAAGCCAGACTTTTCAAACAAAAAGGTAAGCTTGCCTCCCAGATTGTCCCAGTCATAGGAAGTAAAGACAGCCGAAGGTGATGCTGACCACACCCCTCACCAAGTGAAGAGAGAATACAAATTTCCTCAGCTTGTGCCTACCTCACAGTCAAGGCGGACACACAACAGCCATTTCATAGTCAAATCAAGAAGATAAGAGGCAGCAGGTTAAAAAGAGGCAAATCATGGATGGGTCAAGCTGAGGACATTATTTTACAGGTATGTTCACTTGAGGACATAGAACCCGGTGAGGAGTGGGTACAAATGCCTTCAGAGTGCTGTACAACCTTTTTCTGTTTGCATCCAACTAGACAGAAAATGCAGAGTCTGACTGCTGTAAAAGCAGAAGTTCAAGTCTTGATTTTCAAGAACGCTCTAGAGGGTGATGCTGTCATTTACACAGATGGTTCTGTAATCCGCCAAGTTAGAAGCTCGTGGACGTTTCACGGCTCAGTTTAGAGGGAGAGTTGTGAAGGAAGATTCTGGAGCGTTTGCCGTAACTACAAGTAGTCTGACTATGAAGGTCATGGCTGAGACTAAAGCAGTAACATGGCTAGAGACACAGACTTTCACTGGGGCATGCTTTCTCAGTGACTCCATGAGTATGCTCCGGAAGATAGAGAAGGGCTGGGTCCGAAGGCAGTGGTTGGTGGCTCTACAGAATTCACGGCTGGCAAGGATTAGTTTCATTTTCGTGCCAGGACATGTGGGGTACAAGGAAATTAGAAAGCTTATGCGCTTGCAGATAAGGCTACTGTGAAAGCCGGACAAGCTTTAGACCAGGCTGACATACTGAACGCTCTAAGAGAGTTAAGACGTTTTGCATGAACCAATTGAGAACTGTGAATCTGCAACCATGGTCAGACTGCAAGAAAAACATGTTAAATAGGGTGTCATCAAACAAGAACACTACGCGGGTAGTCTAAAAAAAAAAAAAAAAAAAAAAACCAACACAGAACTGGTATCGTTAGTTGCTTCACGCTGCAGGATTTACTGAGGAGGGGATCAGAGCACTTATGGACTGAGTGGTTCGACGTGCAATGAGGATAATCTGTCAACTAACTAACTCACCAAGTGCTAACTGGTCTATAATATACAGGTCAAGCACTATATGCTATATGCCCAATGTGCCTGAAGCTGTGGAAGAGTATCCCTTACATTATTTACTTATGTTGACCACATCACAGAACACATTAAACAGCCAAAACTTCTTCTTCTGCGTTTTGACACCAGCCATACTAAAAATGCAGTTCTGTCTGGCTCACAAACAGGATTGTACGTCTGGGGTCGCCGCCGGTCCCACACAGCTTCTCTTGTAGCTCCCTCAGGCCAGATCTTTGTTGGGAGAAGTTAGGGCAGTGCTGCAGTGTGTGCTCAGGGGTCTGTCTTTCTGCTCCAAAATCACAGGCAGCAGATTCTTTCAAGCCTATCCTGTGCAGGTGTGCTCTAAGACCACAGTGTCCTGTCCGATGCCTTAGAACTGATGTTTTTTTCTTTCCTGTTGAGCTTGTTTATGCTGTAATTGTGTGTAGTCTCCATAGTGCCTTTTCCACCCCCTCCCCCCGAAAGACTGTTTTGGAGTGGTTTTCGCTTCCTTGTAGCTCTGTGATGGATGAGGTTGTGGAAGATTACTCCCAGCTTTTGTCAGCTCATCTGCTCACTCATTTTCTTGAATACCACAGCAAGCTGCTATTTACTGCAGCACCAGTTCTGCTTCCTTGGAAAGCAAGCCAATGCTGGTCCTTAGATCTGCTATCAGTCTGTCTTATTTGCTTTACAGTGCTTAAAGAACAGACAATGCATCACTAAGTATAACAATTTTGTGCCCTCTGTGTTTCTGAGTGATGAGGTGCTGAACAGCAGAAAGAAGGGCAGTGGCCTCAGCTCTGTAGTTAGTGCAGACAACTAAAACTGAAGATGAGATAAATATTCAAGGAAGTTCTTTTTCAACTACAATATGGAATGTATTTAAAGAAAATTACATGCATACCTTTATTGCTATTAAACCTCTTATTGTCTTCATTCTTCCCAGTCACCAGCTGCTGGTCAAAAAACTGCTGAAGTGAAAAAGGCGTTGACTCCTCATGATAAACAGTGTCCAGTTTTTTCTTTTTAAACAATCCAACCAGCGACGAGGTCATGTGGATCTTAGTCTTACTGCCAACAGACTTTACAACACTGCAATGATTTACAATAAATGTTAATAAATTAGTGCACACAACTTGGCATCATAGTCTGCCTGGAAAAAAATAATCAGTTGCCATCTCTACAGTGATGGTTGGCTGCAATGGATTTCCAACACATTTTTTCTATTCTATTGACTGAACACTGCTATCTGTCCATCTTTTGATACTGTTCTCCCATTGGTATCATTGTCTACCTCTTGTTTTCTAGCCCCTGACCATTCTCTCCAGTATGATTTTTTAAAGACTGTTGTCTTTTTACATTTCTACTGGGTCTAATTCCCTGCATTTTTCATTTTTCTGATTTAGTTTTTTTAAAGCCAAGAGGACATCACATTTTCATGGAAGCCTCATTGATAAAAGTCACAGTATGATTAACATGCCATTTATGGTTTTTTTTTTTTCAAGCCACCAGGAAATGTATTATATATGATGCTTCACCCTGTCTGTGTTATTGAATACTCCCTTCAAATATTTCTACACACACAAAAAACAGGAAAAATACTTATAACGCACTTGTGCAAAAAATTATTTTTTATATGTGTTTTGTTTGCAACTCCAATAGTCAGGACCTTTTTTCTAAAGACTTCTCGGGGCGAGAGGGTTAATGAGTGAAAATAGTTGCATTAGTATGCTGGTACATAGAGGATGCATGCTGTAAAAAAAATAATAAACAAAACCAACTTATCTTCTTCATCATTCATTCGAGAGACAAAACTGCATTGTGCCTGTTTACAGCACAGCTGCGATATTTATGCTGTTTGGCCGACACATCCAGATTCAATGGACCTCTGTTATCCAGGTTAGCCTACCCGGGTAATTTAGTTGGACACAACAAAGCCATACCGTTGTTCTGGGCTCACCCATCACAATAAAGAAGAAAAATCAATTTTACACAACATCAAACTCACCTCCCTCTCACAGGTTTCATCTGTACATTATTTAGCCTCTCCGCAGCAGACAGTGTTACTGGCTTCTTGTTTAGCCTCTCCGTAGCAGGCAGTGTTACTGGCTTCTTGTTTAGCCTCTCCGCAGCAGGCAATGTTACTGGCTTCTTGTTGACATTGTTTAACCTCTCGGCAGCAGGCAGTGTTACTGGCTTCTTGTTGACATTGTTTAACCTCTCCGCAGCAGGCAGTGTTACTGGCTTCTTGTTGACATTGTTTAACCTCTCTGCAGCAAGCAGTGTTGCTGGCTTCTTGTTGACATTGTTTAACCTCTCTGCAGCAGGCAATGTTACTGGCTTCTTGTTGACATTGCTTAACCTCTCCGCAGCAGGCAATGTTACTGGCTTCTTGTTGACATTGTTTAACCTCTCCGCAGCAGGCTGTGTTACTGGCTTCTTGTTGACATGGTTTAACCTCTCCGCAGCAGGCTGTGTTGCTGGCTTCTTTCTAACATCAATTTTACCAGCTTTCTTCACTGTGTCAGACTTGTCTTCTTGCACCACACTTCTTTCATTTACAATGTGCTTATTCTGTGATACTTCCACCGTTGAAGTCTTATGCAGCTTATTACCTGTCTGTGTTTGGTTTCTGAAAATTTAAGAAAAAAGAAATGCATCAAAGCATTCACACATTACAAAACGTGTTCATAGAAAAATGTGGGGATCTCCACTATGAAATCATTTGTCCCATGCTGTGAAGTATGTAGGTTCAATTTCACCAGGTGCTTTGAAGATCTGTTGGTTAGCACTGGAGCTACAGAGTAGTCGTCCAAAAGTAAGACAAGATGACAAAACCTGGTTCAAATGCCTGTCGACCAAGATTCCTATTGTACGGCTGCCTAGGTGGCATTATTCATCCTGCTAGTGTCCCACTGTGTGACAGCAAACGTACGGAGGTCCCAGTTCAGAGAGCCTACTTTATGACACAAAAGATTCAAACATCCGCTGCCAATAGCCACACTCACTGGAGTGCAATGGTCATACAGGGAAGCCATCCTTTAGGCATTCTTTCCATAAATGCAGGGGAAAAAGTGTCCTGGGCATCCACATGAAAGATGCCATTGCCAAAGAGAGAAGTCTAATATGTCAAGGTAGTGAGATGCCCAACTGTGGTTCAGATGTCCCTTGTTCAGAGGCCTACTTTATAATTGATACAAAAGATTTAAATATCCAATGCCAATGACCATACTCCTTGGAGTGTAATGGTCACAAAGTGGAACCATGCCTGAGGTATTCTTTCCACAAATGCGGGGACAAATGTCCTGAGGCATCCACATGAAAGATGCAGAAGAAGTGAGATGCCCATTTGTGTAGAGCTCAGTCTCAGGTCTGCACAGGTCTTCCTGGGGTTCCCTAAACGACACAGCCCGTAATGAGCGGAAGGCTCAATATATGGATGTGAGGTTAAGCAGTCATGTGCAGGACCAGATGATTTCTTGGGTGAACACGGTACCAGAGCATCAAGCATCGGCTCTGCGTTTATGGAAGCTCTCTTGGATAGTGGGGAACGGCAGCACTCTGTCTATGCCTTCAATTGAGGCTCAACAAACTGCAGTTTTCCCATAAACAACACTTATGGATCAGGGGATGATAAAGTCTTCACAAATGAGGCTACAAGTGTAAGAAATCAACTGGGATGGCTGCACCAGACAACAAATGCTGGAAGAAGGGAAAGTGTCATCCAAAAGGTGCAAATATAGCAGCTATGCTGTAAACAAACACAATGCATTGATGTCACTGCGACAAACAATGGAGAAAAAACGATGGGTAAAAATAATAATAGTTCTGGAGATTGAACCCGAACCTGTCCCAGTAAGTAAAGTAAAGTAAAGATCCCTTTTCATGCCTTTCGGCGCATCGGGCATATGGGCAGAGCGTCCCATATTTATACAGACCATCAGCACTCTGTGGGTAATGTGGTCAGCATTACGCCGGCTGTCTTTACTTTCCCAAGACAGCCCATCATGGTACCCATTTTAGGCTGGGTCGACCTGCGGTATGCTGGCTCACGAGTCGGACTCGCAACGCCTTAGCCACGGACGCCGCTAGGGAAGTCTATTATGCAGCACGTGCATATTTAGTTCAGAAAATATATTTGGACTAGTCAATCATAAGCTGCCTAAAATGACATATTTGCATAGGAAATATACAAAAACTGCAACAGCTGCAGATAATAGAGACAAAAACTACATAAAACAGGGGAACAGAAGAAGACCTCTATGCAGACCAAGAAGATTGGAGATGTAACATACAGGCACACATCCAAACAGTTGGAATCTTCTACCTTTGTCGTCTCACTGATACCACGTTGTAGTCCAGTGTTGTTGTTTTCTGTATTTGTCTTGTATTTCTCGGGTGGTGATTTTGTTAATCTTTTAGCAGGTTCCTGCTACACCATTTATTTATCTATTTCTTGGTCTTCCCTACTTCTTCCCAGATGTTCTGCTGTAAAAAGTCTCATACGTGTTTTGTCTGGCTTCATTCTGACTATTCATCCGAACTATTTCATTCTTTGTCCGTCAATATAATCTAGACATGGCTTTATTCCGACTTTCTCTCTAATGCTGGTATTTGTAATCCTGTCCCTTCTTGTTAGTGGCCATGTGAAAACAGCGCATTTAACATGCAGTTTTTGTGTGTTTTTTTGCAGTCACCAAATGGAAAGAAAAACTAGCTAGGGATTACTGAAGACAGCTGATATATGCAACAATGAACCTCGCAGACGTGGAATGCTGAAGAAGTATATAAAAAACTAGCTACAATCAACAGACACAAAATTATTCACATTTAAAACATTAACAATTTCTTACCTCAAAAAAGCTGTTGCCACTTTCAGTTGTGGAGGTGTTTCATTTTCATCAGCCATCATTTCTGTTTTCTGGATTTTGGTTGGATCGAACCTCAGAGCGCGCATGTCTCTGAAAATACAAGATAACAATCCTCAATGAATCCTTGCAATTCACTAGATCTTAACCTGAACAAGACTACAACCAGCTGTGCTTTCAATTTATTGTCCATGTAATAGGCAGAATAAAACTTCAATGCATCTGAAAGCAAATACCTGAGGAAACGGATGAATATTAAATAAAATGAATTCTAAAAAAGTGAATAGAACTGAGAAATGTCAACAGATATAAGAGAGAGAAGATAATTTACTGGGTGAAATTTTATAAAGAATCACAAAACAGGCAAGAAAAAAAAAAAAAAAGAAGCAAACAGGAAAAATAGGAAGTGAAGACATCCAATAGAAATCCTACCACGAACTAGCATAAAAACATGAATTTTGCTAATGTACATATTATGTAGGATCAGTAAATGCACGAGGAGCGGCTGGCTGAATGATCAGAACACGGGACTCTCATGCGGACGACCCGGGTTCGAATCCTCTGTAAGGCTGAGGATTTTTTGTCAGGGCAAAATAAAATTCTCACCTGCACAGACAGCACTAGCCATGCGGCCTTAAATTCTCAGGCTCAGACCCCCTCTCCCCCCACCACAAAAGTGGTATATAAAGGCAGTAATTGGCAGTTAATGCAAAATTACAGCATCTGTAGATGTTGTGATTACCGAAAAGACCTGTTAAAAAAAAAGCCAGAAGAAGAGAATGCGAGATGAATCTGTCATGGCAAGGAGGGATGTCAGCACAAGAACTGATACATGCTGCTGACGATCGCAGACTGTGGATAAGCATTATCACCCACGCCAGTCAGCAAGGCACTTGATGATGATGATGAAATTAAAAACACTCACTTACATAATAGGCACTGTACTGTTTTTAAACTTTTCAGATGCAGGACACCAGCTTGTCTTTCTAATGACTTTTTGAGCAACTATCATACTGTCACTTGTTTCTTTAAGTCTCTTGTCAAAATCTGATAAAAGAATAAAAAACAAATGGTTAGAAACAGACTCAAACTAACGCTGAACTGAAATACTTTACGATCAATATTGAATGTATTACATCTTGGGAGCTGTAGCAGTTCAGTGGCTAGCTTGTGTCGCGCTGACCAAGAATCCACATGTCTCCTTGTAAGTTCCGGGTGAGTGGAATAGACGCACTGCCCCCCCCCCTCACAACGATACCATACAAGGTGACTAATTAGAGGGGAGTTCCTTTCAAGTCAGAGTGCATTTGGCTGAGAGACAATGACAAGTAGTATGCAGACTTCTGGTTTTTTCTTTGCATTTACCGGCTGTAAAATGTGGTGGAAAGTTCTGGGTGTTTACCTACCTCCAGTCTTTAGTCTTGTTCCAGAACCTGTACGTTGTATGCACTTAAATTTTAGAGATCCGGCTTAGTTGTATGCAGATTTTGGTTCCTTGCCTCTCAGCCAGATGTACTTTGACTTCAAAGGATGCCTCTAATAAGTCAGAATCTACAACACGCTTCTTGTGGAGGCAGTGGGTCTAATCTTGTTCTCCCCCACAATGGGACCCTGGAACCCACACAGGGAGGCATGCAGATAAATAGCCAGATGTGTAAAATAGATTTGCATGCAAAACTCAAGTTCTGGAACAAGTTCAAAGTCCAGAATTGGACAAACAACCAGAAGTTTCTGCCTGAGTTTACAGCCAATGAATGCTAGAAGAATCAGGAGAATTCCCACTGAGACAGATTTTTAATTCAAGATGATCTAGCCTTTAACGGGTATCACAGAATGTTCTAGAGAGCAAAAGTGGTCTGTCTGACAGGTCTATACAAATATCGGGTTAGGACAATATGCATAAAATGTTCTAAAGTGAAGACAGAGGAGCTAATGTTAATTAAAAATCATTATCATAAATAACATGGATGACAATCTGACAAAACAAACAAACAGGTTGCCAGCACACAAACTATATACACATAACATCTCTTCACTCTGTCTACGCCCTCAGTAGAAGAAGCCAACAAAGAGGTGATATGCTTATACACCATTCTCACTTTAAACTAGGTACTTTTCAAACCACCCAGGATGTTTCTGAAATCAATGTGGACGATATTTCAACCATCCAGTATTTTTTTCTATCAAACTGGACACGAGTTTTGTTCTTTTTCAAACAGCTAAATCTGTGGGTATGCTGGAATAGAAGTTATGGAGTTCCTTCTAGAAAGTTCTTGAATATCTTTATATAGAAGTCAGCTTTAATCTCTTTATTATATAGTCCAGTAAACTTCAAATACACAAAAGAATGTTACCAAGCTTTCATAATAAACAATCCAATGAATCGTACAACATAACATATTGTCTGCAAAGATTCCCCCCCCCCCCCCTCCCACGTCTATATGATTACCTGTTGAAGACTTGCACATTTCTGCATAATCTGTATCCCTTTCTTCATCATCATCAATGTCTTTCTTTTCATCAACATCTTTATCCTCCATACTTTCACCCTCTGCATCAATGTCTTGACTTTCACCATCTTCTTTTTCATCATTGTCTTCATCTTCATCAATATCTTCACTTTCACCATCTTCTTCTTCATCAATATCTCCACTTTCACCATCTTCTTCTTCATCAATATCTCCACTTTCACCATCTTCTTCTTCATCAATATCTTCACTTTCACCATCTTCTTCATCAATATCTTCACTTTCACCATCTTCTTCTTCATCACTGCCTTCACTTTTATCCTCTTCCTCAACAATCTTGTCTCCATCAATGTCTTGACTTTCACCATCTTCTTTTTCATCAATGTCTTCATCTTCGCCATCTTCTTTTTCATCATTGTCTTCATCTTCATCAATATCTTCACTTTCACCATCTTCTTCTTCATCACTGCCTTCACTTTCATCCTCTTTCTCATCACTTTCTTCATCTTCCTCAACAAACTTGTCTTCATCAATGTCTTGACTTTCACCATCTTCTTTTTCCTCTTTACCATCAATCTCTTCATCTTCATCATTGCCTTCACTTTCTTCATCTTCCTTAACAATCTTGTCTATTCCTTCTTTATCACCACTTTCATAATCCTCACTATCATTGGACATCTCCAACTTTTCTTGACAAGTTTTAGAACAGCTACCTAACAGACCTAAAATACTAAGCCCTCCGAACTTTGGAATTTTGTTAACAGTAGAAGCACAGCTTTCTTTTTGCAACGTATGTTTTAGTTGCGGAGGTTTGCTTGTTTCAGCACCACTAATAACTTTCGTCTGAGGTCCTGGTGTAACATTCTGACTAAAACTGTTGCCTTCTGAATCACTTTCTAAATCACTGTCAAATCTGTTTGACTTTAACAGCTTGTTAGCAGCATTCACATGTCCTGATCTAACTTTTACAAACTCCACCTCCGTCATCTTAGGTCCTAGTGTAGCTAGAGCATTCTTATTGACAGATGCTGATTCAATCAACCTTTTATCAGCTGACTGTGACATTGTATTCTTATTACTTTTGTTTTCATTACATTTCAATTTTACCACCTCATTATTTTCTTTCACAGTTCTACATCCAGTTGTTGGTCCATGTAACTGATTATTTTTTCCTGTTTGCAATCTATCAGAAACATTCTGATTAAAACTGTTGCCTTCTGAATCACTTTCTAAATCACTATCAAATCTGTTTGACTTTATCAACTTGGTAGCAGCGTTCACATGTCCTGTTCCAGATTTTACAAACTCCACCTCCTCCATCTTGGGAGCGAGCTTTTGAATGTTTCTGAAATATTCGGCTGGTGAAAGGACAGACTTTTTTATTTTCTTGACAGAAGCGGAAGTCTGGGGGAATTCCCCCTTTCGTTTTCTGGTGATCTCGGAATCAGGTGTGTTGATCTCCCATGTCAGTTTATGACAAGATGTGTCTGCAGGTGTGCTAGTCTTGTCATCTTTGAAGACTCTGGCTGCATGGCAGTGCTTTGAGGGATCATATTTCACCATCTACATGGAATACAAATAGAGTTTTCAATGTAAAGAATCATTTATCGAAGACAAATATGACAACAAAAACAACTACAACACTGATAACATTTGGGAAAGCATGTTCTTCACCCCTATGAGGGGAAAAAGAAATGAATATTACAACTTAATGACAGAAAAATAGCTTGTTAAAAATAAAGAGATAAATATATGGAATGTTTGGGCTGGACAAGACACAGATCTGATTCATGAATCTAATTTGCTTGTGGTTCTATGGTGCAAATATCACCAGCCTCCAGTCATCTCTGTGACTGACTTTGCTTTTCAGTTAGTTTGTAGGTCTCTATGTATGCTACATTGGGGGCTAGAAAGGCAGAAGAAGAATGTATATTATTTCTTCACTGTCTTTTTTGGGTCTATAGTTCGTTCGACTCCCTTGAGTTCAGTTCTTGTCTCTCTGTGATCTGCCACTCTTTTTTTATGCACCAACCACTCCAGTCTATTAATTTTCATGTCAGTAATCAGTGGTCATTCAAACATAATGAATTTTGTTGTTGCTTTTCACTCTCTGTTATCTGCATCTTTGTTGGGTTTGTGACCTATACCTGAAAGATAATTCAACTGGCAAATCAATATAATTCTGCTCAACTCTTTCAATGCCAGTTTTGTTCGTGTTGCAACTTGTGTCCAAGAAGACAAATATCCAGTTTGAAATATTAAATGTTGGCTACTTTCAAAGAAGAGGATTAATATAGAATTTTGTCACTCGGGAAACAAGATTCTTTCAGTATAATTGAAGTCGTACTAGTATACAGGCTAGAAAATTTCTTTTCAACACAAACGTCTAGGGTTCAAATCCATCAGACCCACAGGAGGGGGTCTTCAGGTTGACACAACCTAAAAGGGTGCATCTTCGGTATACCCCCAGCGAGTGGCGACTGATAACGCCAGTTCTGTGTTGGTTTACTATTCTTCTTTGGCTACATATATAGTACTCATGTTTGACGACACCTCTTTTAACCTTAAGTTCTTGTCATGGAAAATAAAGATGGTTGGCATGATGCTGACCAAATCACCCACTGAGTGCTGATTGGTCCATAAAAACTTAAGTCTAGAACTATACGCCCAACTGAAAGGGGCCTTTATTTAATACTATGCTGTGACCAAATATAAAAAGAGACAACACATCATGTGATAGCTGGCAATCAGAGTTAAAAGTATTACACACTAGGCACTACTGGGGATCAAAAGAGTTATGCAACAAAGAACCCAAATAAATATTTGCCAGCTGGAAGAATAAGTGGGAAACATACCTTTATCTTATAGGATTTTTTCAACTTCAGGATAGGTAAGACTCTTCCATATTTTCCAACAACCCAATCCTGCAATCAGTGAAATGAGACCAGTTATGTATAAAGGTACCGAGAGAAAAATACACGTAAAAAAAAAAAAAAAAAAAAAGGTCAACTAAGAATACAATATTAATACTTCAGTAATGCACCCCTCCCTCAAATCACAGATGACAAAATACACATTTAACACCGAGCTTAACATACATCAAACAGTTATACAGGACCACTGTATTTTTATACCTCAATGTGAAAGAGATGCAAAATCAACACTGACAGCTCAATGTACCACAAAAAAAAAAAAAAAAAAAAACCCAGCTGAAATGAACGACTATTTTAATAGCATAATTACTTTCTTCCCTGGCACAGGTGTGCCTGGAACTGCAGGTCCATTGATTTCAAAGAGTTGTGGCTGCGATGTCTGACTAGGCTTGACTTCCAGTACATCCTCCTGCTGATGTTGTGCCTCTTCTCTCTCTTTCTCCAGTCTTAGACAAATCAAACATTAAAAATAAAACTGATTCCTCCACATGGTCCGGATAAAAGGACTGATTATAAACTTGATAACAAAACTGAGCATCCACTTTCCTATGTCAAAAAATAATGTTAGTTGCTCATCCTTTACAGGACGCAGAACAAAAGCAAGCATTTTTGGATCGGATTGACTAGCCAATTTTATGTTCAGTAGTTTGTCGGCATCTGTGGCTTAGGCAATGCAAACACGCTTTATAATGCGGGGTTCGATGCCAGCTGTGGACAATCTGTCTTGCGTTGGTTTCGACCAGATACTGAGAGCTGACTGTTCAGAAGCAGTGGCAAACTACTGAACGTAAAGTTTGCCTAGAAAACCTACAAGAGCCAACAAATGCTGGAGTTAGCTCTGCAACGTCCTGTAAAGGATACTAACTTACTTTATTTTAGTATGCCATTGCTTTCCTGAACAGTCGACTATGGATACAAAATCAATGAAAAGCGATTTGCTGCCAAACTGCCTGCAGTTGGAATCAGACCGGCCATTGATGGCGAACACCAATAAAGGGCTTGCTAACTCAATTGGATTATTATTCTTGTTATGCATTTAAAAGGTAGTTGGAATGTTATGAAGTTCTTCACAGCTAGGCAGCAACAGCTAAATTTCGGCAAAATACATCTGATGTCAGCAAACTTCTAAAAACACTTTCCGCTGAATTATCCTAACATTTAAAATGTAAACAGCTTAATAAATGATGGCCGCACATTCCTTTTCTTGTCACTTTTAGCAACCAGCACCATCTTTAGAATGCAGGTCAGTTGTAACAAGTCTCCAAAACCTTCTGTTCTATATAAATATTTTCATGGTACACTAACAATGTGTTAAGTTAATAATAACATCATTCTCTGGTTTCTATAGCCACACTCTGAGGAAGGAAGAAAATCAACCTACCGACCCCCTCCCCGAACAACTGGTATGTCGTTAAAGGTGACTTATTAGGGGTGTTTTCTTTTGAAACTGTAGCACATCTCTCTGAGAGGTGAGGAACCAAAACTCTGCACACAAATAAGCCAAATCTGTAAAACATATGTACACACAAAACTCAAGTCCAGAAATTGATGAGAAACCAGAACTTTCTTCCAGTGAAGGCTAAAGAAAAATTTGAGAACAGACAATCAGAGTACTTTCCTATGAGCACTCTGTCCACATCCCGTCCCCACCTTTAGCAAATGCAGGAGTCACAAAGCATTTAAAAAATAAATGTCACTGAATGTTACTTTTACGAATGAATGAACAAACTTTATTTTGAAAAGGTCACTTATTGCGCAAGCAGGCCTGTTTGACACCTGGCCTTTCCAAACACTCCTCCTTCACATTGCAATTGTATTTTCTGTCCAAAGCAGATTATGCTCCTAGATCAAGTCTTACAAGGCGAGAAACCAACAGTCTGCTGACAGATACAGTACAGGGTTAATTGTATACTTTTACATAAAAAAAAACGTTTACTCTGAATAAGTGAACTGGTGCATGACACAACTAGATGTGATCAACGCCACTGAAGAGCAAGTGAATATTGCAGAGGCAAAAACAGATCAATATGGTCTGTAGAGTACAGCTAGGACTAACCAGGAGATCTGGTCAACACTATATTCAAAGGAAAGACGGATTTATAATCAAACTGCTACTGACACCATCAGAACTGGAATTTTCCTGGGCTGCTGAAGATGAGGATAGAGGCTGCAGTTATTGCCTCCACCTCCATTCTCAAACTAGATGTTGTATCATAGGCCAGGCTTTGTTGCACTAAGCGATGCTCATTCGCTTTTGCTATGAATCCCCCCTGCACTTTGTCTTCCCCTGAACACAGAGCCATCTGTATAGATAATCACATCACCTGGACGGAAACTGTCATGAATCATTCATTGAACTTCTGATTCTGCAGCACCCACTGGCCAGTCCCTGCACTCACGACCTAACACATGACTAATTGTGTCTCAGCTTGTGCCATCCAAGACCTTCCTCTTTTCAGTCTGTGACCCTTAGCCCTACCCAGGGCTTCATGTAGGATGTGTTTCTTATCTGCGGCTACTCTGAGATATGACTCAGCTTGCAGGATTTTGAGCGTGTCTGCACTAGTAGGCAGTGCAAGTATATAATATATCGCATACATACTACTGGGATATCTCTTGTATATCCCATAATTACTCTCATGCCTTCGTATTGTATGTACTCAAGTTACATCAGCGGACACTTTGATTTTGCAAGCATTCCAAGTCCATAATCTATCACTGAAACTATCGAATGCTGGAACATTGTGAACATTCTTTATTCCATATCCATTGCTGCCATAGCGTTAAGTGCATTGAGTCCTTTTTTTTTAAATTTCACCACAACTGCCTCCACATGATCCCTGAAGGCACCTTCAGAACTGGAACTTTTCCCTGAGGGTAGCGAAGTGATACCCAAGAACTTCACTTTGCTTTCTTTTTTGATCTTTCTATTATTAATTGTGAGGCTTGAAACAGCTTTTACAATTCTATTGTCCAGACAGCATCACAAAACAGCCAACTTTTCTAGGTTAATGACAGCAGCCATTTCTGTACACCAGTCAGTCACTTTGTCTACAGCTGCCTGTAGTTCGTAGGCTGTCTGCACTACCCTGCTTATATGAAAGAGCATCATTTGCAAATGTCTATATCATTTCTTTCCAACTCCCGTTGCTTCATTTCATGTTCTACATATCTGCTGGTATTATACATTTAAAGAGCATTGGTGAAATTGCAGAACCCTGGGGTAAATCCTAGGGTGATATAATTATGTATACATTTATAGTTTGCATGCTTAGCTTAAGTATGCGGAGGGTAATTTTACCTGTGAATGCAGGACAGCAGCTGCTATCCAGTTTACCAGCAAGGGACACACCTCCTTCCGCATGGGCACAAACATAAAAATAAATCTGACTGATTATTGACCTATTATTGTAGGTTTCTTCGTATGTTGACTGAGGGATCCTCGCATCTCAGGCAGAGGCAGAGAGGCACTCTGACGACTCACTCTGGCTTCAAAGGAAACACCCTTAAGAAAGTCAAATTTAATCTAATTAGGGCACCCGCAAGGACAACAACAAGCACGCACAATGCAGGCAAGGATTTTAACCTAAAAGTGATGCAGCTTACCTACCCGATTCGTCTCTCCTTGTCTTGAAACTCAAGTTGCCAACTTTCCCAAATTTTGAAAATCTTTCGACAATTTCTCCGGCAGTCACTTCGTTTGCCAAACCTCCAACAAAAATTCGCTTGGAACTTTTCTCATGCATCTTAAAAAATCGTTGATTATTTTATACGAAATAAATATTAATAACAACGAAAAAGTTACATTCAGTAAATAAATCAGTCAGACTTGAATACTCAACAACATGTACAACGGCATTGCAATTTTTTCGTACAATAACAAGGCATGGCCCAAACAGGAAGTCGTCGAAGGGAGATAATTACTGCAAGAGATTGTTCTATTCTACTTCTTTCTATGAGTGCCGTTCACAATACTTTCTGTTACTTGATTAATTCATACTAGATACCATCAGATTGCTCATCATTAAAAATAATAATAATAATAATAATAATAATAATAATATATTTCAGGCGCCCCGCCACAAAGAAAAAAAACGTCTTCCACCTTACACATTTTCCTGGCAGAAAAGGACTGGGTAGTAGGACCTAAGACCGACTTCACCCCACCCTCTTTTCTTGATGTATTGCCTCTGTAACTTCATATCTCCGGAGATTCATTAAGACTTTATGTTTGTTTGTTCATCGTCCGTGTTTATAGAGTGGGGTTGCGTATCAAGCCAGCCAGAACATTTGACCCGTTGCTTTGCTCGAGGGAAAAAATCGTCCTGTTTAACCAGCATCCCTGAAAGGGGAGCTTTGGGTTACAATTGTAACTAGGTACTTTTGCACCAAATAATATGGCTTAGCACTGCACCCCACCAGAAGCCCTGAAATAAAAACATCTCTAGTCATCTCCTTGTGAGATGCCATTTTTCGTTATTTGAAGCCCTACTCTGGCTCTTGTCAGGGGCCGCAATATAACCCATCCACAAATATGGTCTGATGGCTGAACGCGGTTTCTGGGACCTCTCCACGGCGATCCTCGCCCACATGGTGGCACTTTGTGTGATCGGGTGTTTATCGCTTGTGTGATGTCCCGATGGGGTAAAAAGTCAGCCAGTCAGTCAAGGCCCTAAAATATATACATCTCTAGTCATCTCCTTGTGAGATGCCATTTTTCGTTATTTGAAGCCCTACTCTGGCTCTTGTCAGGGGCCGCAAAATAGCCCATCCACAAATATGGTCTGATGGCTGAACGCGGTTTCTGGGACCTCTTCACGGTGATCCTCACCCACATGGTGGCACTTTGTGTGATCGGGTGTTTATCACTTGTGTGATGTCCTGGTGGGGTAAAAAGTCAGTCAGTCAGTCGATTCACTAAGACGGTTTCCCGTTGAAGAGCCTCGAAACTTTTCTAGGGTTTTAATTTGACAGGCTCTGCACAAGCGGGGCGCATTTTACTTTCCAATTTATTAGGACTTTCTGTTGGCTCTCCTTTCAACTACGGCCGGTAGACAACAGTAGACGGCCGGTTAGTCAGAGTTCTGTCCCTTGCTGCAGTGCAATTACGGAGTGGAAAGGAGGGAACGAAACAAATGACATAATTACTGTGTGTTGGCGATAGACAGCGTGCACTGCCCTGCTATAATCATACGGTTTGGGTTAGGGTTTGGGTTAGGGTTAGGGGTAGGGTGTGGGTTAGGGTGTGGGTTAGGGTTACGGTTAGTGTCGCCGCATCTCGTCTTCGCACAAACTCATAGTAGCAAACCCTAACCCTAACCCTAAACCACGCCCATCTTGAGCTATTTCTATTGGTCCTGACAACTGAATCATGGTACATTTTGGCTGAGTCCCCTCGAAAATAGGTTACTTTAAGCGTTTCCAATGTTGCATTGTGTGACAATAT